TTCCTTTGCTCTACCCTCCCACCCTCGCCCCTACTCTCGACACTCTGCCTCTCATGTCCTCTCCTTTCTTCCACTCTCCTCTCCTCCACTCTCTCCACTCATCATTTCCCTCCTACAGTCTCACATCCTCTAGCCTCGGCCCAGCTCCTTCTCCACTCCATTCCCTGCTGCCCTCATCCTATCCTCTTCTCATCTCTCCTCTCCTCTCCACTCCTCGTCTCTCCTCGCCTCTCTTCTCCTCTCCTCTCCGCTCCTCTCCTCTCCTCTCCTCTTTCGCCTTCTGACCTGCTTCAGCCCTCCTGCGTGTTCTCCTTCCTCTCCCTCAATCGCCGTCAACCCTTCCTTCCATATCCTCCTCCCTCCTCTCCGCGACTCTCTCTTTTCGTGCCCTCGCCTCCCCCTTCCCCCCGTCTCCTCGCCGCTCCCCGGCCGCCTCTCCTCGTCTCCGGGCGCAGACGGGCCGGGGCCGCGTCCGGAAGCGGCCTGCCAGCAGCAGGTGCAGCGGGGTGGAGCCCAGCTCGCAATGGTCTCCGTGCTGGATTACCGTGCTGCCTGTCAATCCGTGTTGGTCCTCTTCGTCTTCCTCCTCCTTGGTTCCCCTTCTTCGTCTTCCTCCCTCCTCCCTATGTCTGGGCTCTTCTCTTACTGCTCCTGCCGCTGCTGCTGCTGCTCCACCTCCTCCTCCTTCTCCACCCTCCATCTTCCGCCCTCCGCCTTCGCCTTCTCCTCCTGACCCTGCTCTTGCCCCTGCGGTTCCTCCTCCTTCTCCTCCTCCTCCTCCTCGTCCTGTTTCTCCTCCTCCTCCTCCTCCTCATTGTCTTCCTCCTCCTCCCCCACCTCCCACATCCTCCTCCGCTCCTGCTGTTGCTGCTCCTCCCTGTCCTCCTCCCTCCTCCTCCTCCTCCCTCCTCCTCCTCCTCCTCCTCCTCCTCCTCCTCCTCCCCCTCCTCCTCCTCCTCCTTGTCCTCCTCCACCACCTCCTCCTCTTCCTCCTCGTCCTCCCTTTCCTTCCTCTCCTCCTCGTTCGCATCTTCCTCCTTACTCCATCTTCGTGCTCCTGCTTCTCTTCCGTCCTCCCTCGAGCGTAGCCAAAAACGGACCAACTTCGATCATCTCACGGAAGGGCGTGCGACCTGATGCCGCGCACGCCGCATGACCTCCCTTTGGCGGCGCTCGCAAGTCGGCGCAGGAAGCCTGACAAACTCGTGATGTAGGAAAAAGGCATAGATGGTGGGAAGCATTGAAGAGCGAGACGGGGCAGCAAAAACCAAGACGCGAGATCGGGCAAGAAAAGAGCGGCGAGAGAGAGGTGCAGAATAAGACACGGGAGAGATGGGTGCAGCACCACCGGTGACGGAAATTAGATGTTTGTAGGCACCTCAAGTAGCACACGCTCTACTCTTGGAAAGCCGAAGCTGTACCAGCCCCCACAGAGAGCTTTCAAAAGGCAGTGCGCCACGAAGGAGGAAGAGGGAGGAGCTGGGTCCGTACTGCATCCCACGAGATTGATTGGATAGCGGCCCAATGCTGCGGAAACCATTATCGAAGTCTTCTCATGAAAGAACCACCAGTTTACCAGGAAGAAGGGTAGCAACGAGGATCACGCTCTATCGATGAAGGGATAACCGACGGGTTTGGGTATTGAAGTGGGAGGGGGCCGACGGCTCGAAATCCGCAGAATCCTCGAGAGCTTCCCGCCACTCATGAGGGAGAGGCCGAAATTCGAGGCTAGCAGCTTCAGGGAACAAGACGGTTGAGAGGATCTTCGTGGGCTTGATTGATGGCAGCTCTGATACGGGTAAGAATGCGCCGTCTCTCGCCTCGAGACAGGTCAAACTTGTAAGCGTTGAAGTGCTGGATTCAACACCGACCGCTCGCTGTTTCGACCGTCATGATAAGGGCGCGCCCAAGGGTGGGGGTAGAGGAGGAGATGGTTGGCTGCTCCTGCCCGATTTTCTCCAGCCTCTCAGCCGGAGGGGGAAGAGCGGATAGATGGTGACAGCTCCGCCTTTCGCAGCGGTAAGACCCGCAGATGGGAGAGGGGGGCCGTCAGATAACAAGAAAGAGGCTTGGAAAGGGATATTGAGATGGTGCAGGAGTTTACTTCGTTCACTCTCTGATCCGCGGGCCTCCTGCGTTGTTGCGATGCTCCCGCGGAGAAGCAAACGTCTCAAGAAGCGGATTTTTCCTGTCGCGCGATCTCCTTATGATGAAATAGGGCTCTGGCGTGCCATGCCGCCACTCGGAAGGTAAAGGACGAGGTTTCCAAGGACTTCGATGTGCCGTGCCGCAGGGCGCACATGTTGCTGAGAACTCCACACTGTTGGGCTCGGGCCTTTAAGAGCTTTTTGCACGATGGGCTCCAGCTCGCCCTGCGCGAGACCCTCGGCCGCCAGGTTGGCGGCCGCCCGCTGCGCAGCAGGCTGCTCCCCGCTGGGAACTGGAGAGGGCTTGACCAGCGGCCGCCACTTCGATGCATATCTCCCCCTTGTGGTTGCCGACGGAGAAACGCCTCTGAAGAAAATCTTTTTCCAAGGCGCGCCGTGCTGCTTTGCAGCAGGTTTCTCGCTTGATGTTATGCGCGTTCTCGTCGGGCCCGACGAACAAACAGCTCGGAGCGCCCCCCTGTCGTAGATGTTGCCGAGAAGGGCCTGTGCATAGAACCTGCTCCGCCATGAGCGCGAGGAAACCGCGGGCTGCCTGGCGCCTGAGCAACTTTGCGGGCTGCGAACGTCTTCGTGCCCGTTATCCTGATCGTGTACTTCTTGCTGGTGGGGTCGCCGTCCACGAGCTAGTCGTCTTCGGCGATGTTGGAGTCCTCCATCCAGCTGCGAACGGCGTCGGCCACACATGTGGCCGTGACCAAACGCTTGCTCCGAACGATGATGATGCCAGCGTCGATCTCCCTGTCGAAGGTGGCGCCACGGACGTATTGTTTGACCGCCGGCGGTTCCTTCTTGATGATGTCCAGGCACAGCGCGCAACTCACGAATCTCTTTGTGCGCGTTGGTAATCAGGTCGTCCTGCGCCTTCTGAGAGATCTCGACCATATTGAGCCGACGCCCGACGTGCTTGTGAAGGTCCTGGTGGCTCTGCGAGAGGGAATCCCTAAAGCTCGCCATGGACGCGTTGACGTTGGCCAGAGAAGCGGCGACGTTGTCGGAGACGGTCGACACGCTGTCCAGCACATTCTTGAGGGTTGTGTCGGCGGCCGTGCGGTACTTGTCAAGGTCAGCACGCACAGTAGCCAAATCAGCGCGAACAGCAGCCAGGTCGCCTTTGTGCCGCTTTCCCCGAAGCCGAGGAGACTGTGGATGCGAAGTGAACTGAACACCGTCCTGTGCTGCTCCACCGTCGGAGTCGGGGAAGGTTGGCGCGGCTTCCCACGAGCGGACAAGATCAGCTGCTTGCGATGCGGAAAGCGATGCGGGTCCAGCGCGGGCAGGCGTGTACACCTGCGCACCATTGCCACTCATCTCCGCCTCTGAAGGAACAGGGGCACCTGCCAGAAAGTGGGGCTTGTGGTGCGATGCGAACCAACTCGGCACGAATTCGGAGGAAGGCGCCGATGCTTCTCCTCACTCGGGCCAGGCGACGGACACCTCAAAGCTAATCGCTGGCTGTTGGGCGTCTCTACAGCCCTTCACAGCGTTTAGCCTTGAGCCACAATGGCTACGGACCTCCTCCGTCCTCCCTCCTCCTCCTCCTCCTCCTCCTCCTCCTCCTCCTTCTCCTCCTCCTCCTCCTCCTCCTCCTTCTCGTCCTCCTCCTCCCTCCTCCTCGGACCCTGGGGCGGTGGGCGGGACGCGCCCCCAGGCCCGCCCATGGCAACAGCTCGGGCCCTCAGCCCTTGAGGCCGCCGCGGGCGCCGAGCTCCTCACAGGCCCGAGGGCAGCAACGAAACTCGGCCAGGCGAGACTCGGCCAAGCCGTTCTCGGCCAAACCGACTTCGGCCCGGGCCGAGCTCGGCGCGGCCGGGGCTGAACCCGGCCCTGGCCGGGGCCAGCCGGCCTGGTCGAGTTCAGCCTGGCCGCGTGTCGCCTGGCCGAGCTGCGCCTGCCCGAGCCTTCCCCTCGCCTGAGCGGGAGGCCCGCGCCGCCGCACGCCGGCCGCCCTCTGGGCACACTGGCCAGAGCTGGTTGGTGCCCTGGCGGGCGGCGAGGCTTTTGGGGGGGGGGGCCCGACGCGAAGCGCGCGGACCGCCCTGCCCGCCCCGCGCTGCCTGGGCGGCCCAAAGACCCTTCGGCCTCCTTGGGGGCCCTCCTTGGGCTCCTCGCCCGGGGGGCCGCGAGGAGCCGCTCGCGGGATGCTGGTCCACGAGTCTCGGCCCGCGCGCGGGGAGTCGCGCGGCACGGGAGGCACCCCGGCGGGCAGGAGGGCGGAGGCGCGCGAGGAGTGGAGCTGGGGCGGCTGCGCCCGGAGGCTGGGCCCAGTCCTCCTCTTCGTGTTCCTGATCCATGTCGCCTCCTCCTCCTCCCCGCCTCCTGCTCCTCCTGCTCCTAATTCCCCCGTCCTTCTCCTCCTCCTCCTCGACCTCCTCTTCCTCCTACTCCCCCCTGCTGCTTCTCATGCTGCTCGCCCTCTTGGGCCCTCTTCTCCTCCTTGCTCCCCTCCTCCTCCTTCTCCTCCTCTGCCTCATTGTCCCCTTCCGACCAACGAGGCGCATCATCAACACCCGAGAGGCCACTGCGGGGCGCGCCCCTCTGCGGCCTGGGGCGAACAGCACGATCTCTGCTCCGACGGCGATCTCCTCCGCGAACTTTCCGTCCAGCTCCCTGGGCGGCGTGAGGGGGGGGGGGGGACAGAGAGAGAGGGGGGGGAGGGGGAGGCGAGGAGCGGGAGGCACGAGAGGGCGCGAGGCAGCGCGCAAGCGTCTGAGGGGGATGGAGATGGGAGGCGGGGGCAGGGCGCGGCGAGACGCGGAGGGGTCCCTCTGCCTGGCAGAGCCCCTGCACCGCTCGCTCCCCGCCTCGCACTCCCCGCCTCCTCGTCCTTCCCACCTCCTCGTCCTTGCTCCTGCCCTCGCCCTTGTCCTTGTCCTGCTCCTCGCGCTTGCTCTCCCCATTCCTTCCCTCTCCGTTGAGGATTGCACATGGGGGCGTCGAGTGCGACGACAGCGTGCCCTTTCTTTAGCGTGCTGGGCCTTGTCTGAATTAAAACGCACGTTTCAACTCTCCTATTTCTCCGTATCCTCTCACCGGTGTTCCCCCTTCTCCTCTTCATATCGTCACCTGAGTTTCCGAATCCTCGTTTTCGTACTCGTCGTCAATCTTGGACTCCTCCTCCTCCTCCTCCTCCTCCTCCTCTTGCTCGCCCTCGTCTTCGTCCTCCTATTCCTTTTCGATGTCGTCGTCCTCATCCTCTTCTCCTCTTGCTATCTTCCTTTATCTGCTCAGATCTCTGCACAGTCCTATGTACGTAGTCAGTGTTGATTTCACATGGCCCCCTGTGGTTCTAATGCCAACTCCTGTTCCTTGGACGTCTTCCACCCGCTCGTATCTAATTCCGCTTCCTATTCCTACTCGTGCTACCCTCCCTCCCCCTGATAACTTTCCATCTGCCTCTCCTCTACCTGCCATTTCCTTCTTACTCTTCCTGGGTTCTGTGCATATACTTCTGTACCTGTCCCCTTCTTCCTGAATTTCCTTGTTTTCTTCTTCCACCGCCTCTGCCTCTTGCTCCTCTTCCTCCTGGTTCCCATCCTCCTGCCTCTACTATTCCTCGTCGTCTTCCTTATCCTCAACGTCATCCTCGTCCTCACCATCAATTTCTGCTTCTCCATGTTCCGCCTTCGCTTCTGTACACCGTGATGTGTTATTCCTCATGCCTTCTTCTTCTATTCATCATCCCCCCTGTAAGTCTCCTCGTATCCCAATCATGACATGTAAAGTGTCAGGTCACCTTTCCATGACCACCATTCACATCGTTAAAAGCCTCATCGCCAGCATCACCTACAGCAGCAACACCCCGGACTGCATCATCATCACCATCATCAACATCATCATCAACATCATCATCATTATCATCATCAGCATCATCATCGTCATCACCACCATGATCATCATCAGTACCACCATCATCACCACCACCACCGTCACCACAACCACCATCGTTACCATCACAACCTTCCCCACCAACATCATAATCATCGTCATACTCGTCATCATTATCATCATGACCATCTTCGTCACCGTCAACGTTTTCGACACCATCATCCTCAGCACCAACACTGTCATCGTCGTCACCATCACCATCGTCCGTATCATACTTATCCCCACCATCACCATCATCATCTCTACCACCATGACCATCACCACCACCATCACCATGCCCATGACCGTCAGCATGACCATCACTATCACCATCACCACCATCATCACCATCATCATCAATATCATCATCACCATCACCATCATCATCGCCATCACCATCATCATGGCCATCGTCATCACCATGATGGTCAATCTGATCATCATGATTATGCTGATCACCCTTATCATCACCATCATCATTACCATCCCCATCCTCACCCTCATTCTCCTCCTTCTCATCATCACCGTCATCATCGCATCGTCATCATTATTACCACCGTCACCCTCACCATCATCAGCATCACACTCATCACCAGCATCGGTGTCATCATCGTCATCGTCATCATCACCATGACCATCACCATCACCATCTCTATCAAAACCATCATCATCATCATCAACATCATCATCGTCATCGTCATCGTCATCATGATCATCATCGTCATCGTCATCGTCATCATCATCATTATCATCATCATCACCACCATCACCACCACCATCATCATCATCATCGTCGTCGTCGTCGTCATCATCATCATCATCATCATCACCACCACCATCACCATCACCATCATCATCATCATGATCACGATCATGAGCATGATCATGATCATGATCATGATCATGATCAGGATCATCATCATCATCGTCATCGTCATCGTTATCGTCATCGTCATCGTCATCGTCATCGTCATCATCATCATCATCATCATCATCATCCCCATCATCATCATCATCATCATCAACATCATCATCATCATCATCATCACCATCATCATCATCATCATCATCATCATCATCATCATCATCATCATCACATCATCATCATCATCATCATCATCATCATCATCATCATCATCATCATCATCATCATCATCATCATCATCATCATCATCATCATCATCATCATCATCATCATCATCATCATCATCATCATCATCATCATCATCATCATCATCATCATCATCATCATCATCCATCCTCTCCATTCCTCTTCTTTCGGCTCTGCTGCCTTTGCTGCCCCCCTCGCCACAAGCACGGCGCTCCGCATCAACCGGCAACGTCGCAGCTGCTGCGCGATGCTCTCGCTGCCGATCTCCGCCACCTCCGGCGCCAGTTCGCGGGCCACTCCCCCCGCCCCCCGCCCCTGGCCCGCCTCTCTCCAGCCCCCCGTCATGAATCCCTTCCGCCCGCTCCCTCCCGCTACGAATCCCTCCCACGCCTCCCTCAGCCCCTGCCCGCCCTCGCCTGCCCCGGACCACTTGTGTGCTTCTCTCCCCCCCATCCCTCCGCCCCCCCTCCTCGTCTCTCCATCCACGATCCTCCAGCTCTCCATCCTCCTCAGCCCCCCAGCTCTCCATCCACAATCCTCCACGATCTTCCAGTTCTCCACCCACAATCCTCTAGCTCTCAATTCACAATCCTTTCGCTCTCCATTCACAATCCTCCAGTTCTCTCTGCTTCTCTCGGCTCTGCATCCTTCTCAACCCCCTCCTTCCGCAATCCCATCCTTCCGCCTCCCCCTGCCAATCCAGGCGTTTCTCCGCCGCCCTCCTGCTCCCATCCTCTCCGTTATACATTCTCCATTATCCTCTTCTCTCGCCTCGTGCCCTCACCCCTCGCCTCCCCTCCTGTCATCTCCCCTCCCCTCCTCATCCCCCCGCTCCACTCCTCACTCCCAGACTCCTTACCCTTCCCCCCTCTGCTCCCGTGGCAGAGCGGCGTGTGCGAGGTGCTCGACGGGAGTAGGGTGCATGGCGGGAAAGGAAGAAAGGAGGGAGAGTGGCAGGGCGGAGGGACATACGATGCAGAGACGCTCGTTTGCGCGGCCCCAGGCGCTGACTCAGCGCCGCAACGCCCAGCGCCAGCCCGCATCCGCGCGGGGAGCTGCTTCGCGGGGCGGCGCACCTCGAAGGTCAGCACGTCGCGCACGGCCTGGCCGCCGTTCGCCGCTGGGTCCGCCTCCGCTATCGGCAACGCCTCGTGCTTGACCTCGCGGTCGAGGAGGAACAGCGCGTCGAGGCGGTCGTGCAGCACGGCCTCGAAGAGCAGCCGCTCGCTGGCCACGTCCGCGGCGCCTGGCTTGCCGCACGGCTGCGCCAGCGACCAGATGCGGCTCCCCCCGCTGGCGAGCGCGCAGTTCTTGCGAGCCATCAGCAGAACGGCCGTGAGCACCGCGTTGCCCTGGTGGACGCCCTCTGGCCCCGGCTCGCCGTGCCGCGCCGCCGACTTGGTCACGCGGAAGGCGGTCTGCATCGCTTCCCAGCCACCGCCCTGGCCCGCGCCGCCTGCGCCGCCCTCTGCCGCCGGGGCCCGCGCCGCCCGCCCGCGCCGTCCGCGTCGCCCCCCGCCGCCGTGGCCAGCGCCGCGCCGCCGTGGCCCGCGCCGCCCTCTGCCCGCTCCTCGCGGACCCCCGCAGCGGCCGGGTCGCCGAGCACCGCGGCCAGCAGCTGCTGCAACTGCGCCGCCAGCGGGTGCGCGTCCGCCACGCGAGGCCACGCGCGGTGCCTCCCGTCCAGGGTCCGCGCCGCCGCGGGGCCCTCGGTGGAGGTTGTCGCGTCCACTGCGGGCAGGATTTATGTGCATGTCCACCGCGCCATCGTTTACAGACGGAAGAGTAACAGACCGCTCTGCCGAGGCCTGCACAAACCTTCCAACGAGAACCGTGGATCAGTGCTGCCCTGAAGCTAAATCAAGTTGCGATTCGGCGCTAGCTGGCACGGTTCGTTCCATGATCGTGCGATCCGCGCTGGGGCTAACTGACATGGTTACGACATGCAGAACCGATGCCAAGAAACATACCTGGGGCAGACACAAGACGCGGGTCAAACGACATACATCAGCTGCCTCCGCCTCACCTACTCGCTTCTGGCCGATTGATGCATTGATCACCAATCCTAGCTTCGCCTGACGGGGTAACTGCACCCGAACACAGTTCACGGTGAGCTCGGTTCCGCGGTCAAGCTGAGACAGGAACATATTTTAAAGTTCACCATCATGTTCTATGAAGCGTTATGTATTTTTGTTTACGCGACCGTTTTGATATCTCATACCTTTTGAAGAGACAGCGCCCCGTGTCTCCCTCCCTGCTCCTCCTCCCCCTTCCCTCCTCCCATCCCTGCCTCTGCCCTCCGCACCATTCAACCATTTCGGCACGCCCCTTGCACGTTTCGTGGCCCCATAGGGAGCTCCACCGAAGGCCTCAGTGGCTGCGTTCGCATGCGCCCGCCGCGCCCATTCGGCACATCCTGACACGTTTCGTGGCCCCATCATAAGGAGCGCCATCGAAGGCGCCAATGGCTACGTTCGCATGCGCTCGCCGCACCCATTTCGGCACACCCCTCGCACGTTTCGTGGCCCCATAGGGAGCTCCACCGAAGGCCCCACTGGCTGCGTTCGCACGCGCCCGGCGCATCAATGTCAGCACACCCGTCACACGTTTCGTGGCCCCATCGGGAGCTCCATCGAAGGCACCAGTGGCTGCGTTCGCATGCGCCCGCCGCACCCATTTCAGCACACCCCCCTCACACGTTTCGTGGCCCAATAAGGAGCTCAACCGAAAGCCGCAATGGCTGCGTTCGCACCCGTCAGCTGCACCCATGTCGGCACACCCCTCACACATTCTGTGACCCCATAAGGAGCTCCACCGAAAGCAACACTGGCTGCGTTCGCATGCGCTCGCCGCGCCCACTTCGGCACACCCATCACACGTTCCGTGGCCCCATAAGGGGCTCCGCCAGAGGCCCCATTGGCTGCGTTCGCATGTGTTCGCCGCACCCGTGTTGGAACACCCCTTGCACGTTTCGTGGCCCCATGGGGAGCTCCACCGAAGGCACCAGTGGCTGTCTTCGCATGTGTCCGCCGCACCCATGTTGGCACACCCCTCGCACGTTTCCTGGTCCCGATGGCTGTGTTCGCATGCGCCTGCCGCACCCATGTCGGCACACCTCTCGCACGTTCCGTAGCCCCATGAGGAGCGCCACCGAGGGCCCTAGTGGCTGGGTTCGCCCGCGCCCGCACCAATCATTCTCGGCTCACCACTCACACGTTTCGTGGCCCCATAGAGAGCGCCACCGAAGGGCCCAGTGCGCCCCACCCATTTCGGCACATCCCTCACACGTTTCGCGGCCCCATCGGGAGCTCCAGCGAAGGACCCAACGGCGGTGTTCGCATGCATCTTGGCATACCCCTCATAGGTTTCGTAGCCCCATATTGGGTTTCGCCGAATACCCGAATTGCTGCGTTCGCATGCGCCCGTCGCACCCACTTCGGCACAATCCTCAACCGTTTCGCGGCCCCATAGGGAGCTCCACCGAAGACAATACTCACAACTGCGTTACTCACAACTGCACGTGGGTCCTTCGCCAAGCTAATTTTAGCTACGCGACCGTATAGGTATGTTATACCTTCATATTCTGGGACAATGGGTTCGATGGTCCAGTCGCCCGACAGAACACGCAACATAACATACATTTTACCTCTGCACAACGAATCACCAATGTTTTCAACCCTCCCTTCATCACCCCCTTCCGCCCTCACTTCCCCTCTCATCTGAATCTCCGTTCTCTTCTTTTCCATTCCATCCTCCACCCTCTTCCTCTAACTAATTCCTTGCCATCAGATCCCATCCGCTTTCACCCCTTGTCTCTCCTCTTTTCCCCGCCCGCTCCCTCCCAATTCCCTCCCCGCCCTTCCGTCACTCTTATGCCTCCCTCCCTGCCCTCTCTCCGCTTCCCCCCCCTGCGTCCACACTCGCCCCGCACTCGCCCCCCCCCTACCCGTGGCCTGTGGTGGCTGGAGCGGAAGAAGGGAATGGTAGGACGGACGGGGTGAGGGACAAGAGGGCACGTCGACCCCGACGGGGGGTCGACGTGCCCTCTTGGCCCGTGGCGTCGGGGTGAAGGGCGTCGGGGTGCGGGCCGACCCCGACGGAGACGGCAGAGGGGTGAAGGGAAGACACATGACGGGACATCAAAGAAAAACGGGATGACAGAGACGAGATAGCGCTCGCCCAGTGCGGCCAAATGGCGAGGCTGTTGTCTGCTGTTTCGGGCGCCGCTGGTCATGCGGGTGGTTCCGCTTGCTCAGGGCAAGTCGCAACGGCCTGCGCAAAGGACTGCCAGAACGTGTGAACCATTATCTCACGCGTGCGGCAGATCACCCAATTCCAGTGCTGTGACTTACCATCTAAAGTTGCAACTTCCTGCGTCATGCAATTGCGAGGGGCCCGTGGAACGTGAGGGGCTTTCTGTGCTGGCGCACAAAATTTACGCACACGTTTTATGCATCCATTTCAGACCAGCGAAGCACGACGCAATCTTCCTGGGCGCACCTTCTCGCTGGAGGGCGCCCGTGGAAGCTCTGCGATGAGCGCCAGGCCCCAACGAACGCAAGTGCTTGCTTTGAGGTGCGCACAAGTCCTGAATCCTGGCGGGCTCCAGTACCCGCCCTCGCGGTCGGCGCCCGTTGGCAGCGAGCGCACAATACTGGTGGGCGCGCTAAACTACTGGCCACGGGGTCCAAGGCCGTAAAGGCCTGGGCATAGGGTCCTGGCCACGGGGTCTCGCTCATGCAGTGTGCCCCGCAGATCATGTAGGGGAGTAGTAAGTAGGAAGCAGAGAAAAGGGAATGTGTGGTGGTGGTGGATGGTGGATGGTGGCGTGGCGTAGGATGTATAGAGGATATGGAGCGGGGTGTAGAACGTAGAAGCCCCAGAATAAATGGAAAGTGAAACGCAAAAGTCGGGAAAGAACATTGTATACGGAGTCGGAATTTGAAGGTGTATCGTTCGAGAGTTATGGGGAGGAGGGGAGATCGAAAGAGAGAGAGAGAGAGAGCGCGAGAGATGGGACATATATATAGAGAGAGAGAGAGAGAGAGAGAGAGAGAGAGAGAGAGAGAGAGAGAGAGAGAGAAAGAGAGCGAGAGAGAGAGAGAGAGGCACCGAGAGAGAGGGAAATTGAGAAGAACAGAGAGAGAGAGAGAGAGAGAGAGAGACAGAGAGAGAGAGAGAGAGAGGCAGGGAGAGACCGAGAACGAGAAGAGACGCCTGATGAGTGTATACGATCGTAGGCACTTGACTGGTGTGCGTGTATTTTTGTGTTAGCTGGCGTAGACCCCAACCAGTGAATTCTCCCATTCGAGATGTGTGAGCTATGTGGGGCAAACACGTGGTGCAACAGGTCTGGTGTGACATCGGTAGTTCCATACTGCGTGGTGCAAGCTGTATTGTCTACGCTTTGTGGTGAATGCGGGCAAGTGTATGGGGTGCAGTGTATGCGGTGTAAGCTATGTGGGGCAAGCTACGCAGTGCAAACCACGTAGTGTAGGCTCATCAGTGCAAGTTATACGGTGCCATGGTGCAAGCTGTGTTATGTGAGCTAATTGGTGCAAGCTGTGTGGCGTAAGCTACCTGGTTTAGGCTATGCGGTGCAAGCTACACGGTCCAAACTACGTAGTGTGAGCCAAGTGGTGCAAGCTATTTGGTGAAACCTATGCGGTTCCAGCTGTGCGGTGTCAGCTATGTGGCGCCCACGAGGCGCCTACGGGCGGGCACGAACCGAAAACCAGGAAAAATCAACCAACGCACGAAGCGCCCACGAACCGCCCACGGGCGGGCACCAGCCGACACACCGTGCACTATCTCCAAACAGTGCTTGCACTTGGGGGTTCTTGCCTGCCTTCGAAGGACCTTGGCCTGCGGGCCGCTCTGGCTGCCACGTGGCCGCCGTCGCCGCCTCGTCGGCGCCCGCCGCCTCGTCGCCGCCCGCTTTGCATTGCTTCGCACAGCTTCACATTGCTTTGCGCTGCTTTGCTTTGGATTGCTATGCGTTGCTTTGTGTTGCTTTGCGTTGCTTTCGTCATTGCGTTGCAATTGCGCTGCTTTGCAGTCGCATTGCACTGTAATGCTTTGTGCTGATTTGCATTGCTTTGTGCTGCTGTGCCGTGCTTTGCGTTGCTCTGCGTTGAATCGCATTGCTTTGCGCTACTTTGCCTCACTTTGCATTGCTTTGCCTTGCTTGGCGTGGCTCTGCATTGCTTTGCATATCTTTGCGTTATTTCATAGCGCCACATCGCTTATACCACATAGTTCACACCAGATAGATAGCACTGCGTACATTGCACCACCTCAGCTCGCACCACGTAACTTCCACTGCATAAATTGAACATAATAGGTTTCACCACGTAACTTACACCACACAGGTCGCACCGTATATATTGCACCACATCTGTTGGATCAGATAGCTCACACCTCATTTATCGCACCACATAGATGGCCAACGTAGTTTGCACCACATCGATGAATACGTTATTCCCTACCACATACATTGCAACACGCACCTCGCACCACATAGCTCATTCCACATGTATTGCAACACGTAGCTTGCACCACCTGGTATGCTAGAGGACACTGTTTGGTGACCACGCTGGCTACACAGCTACACGTATATCTATACATCTGTCTCTATATAGGGTAACGAGAGGGAGAGAGAGAGAGAGAGAGAGAGAGAGAGATATAGAGAGAGCGAGAAAGAGAGAGAGAGAGAGAGAGAGAGAGGGGAAGAGAGAACGACAGAGAACAGAGCCAGCAGAACACGTAGTGGGCAGACGGTGGGGAGAAGGGAATGGCAAGCAGACAACAGAAGGTGGAAAGATGATAGGCACTCTTGGGTGTTTTGGGTGGCCCCTCCCATGATGAGGGAACCCGAGGGCAATAAAGTGGGTGCGGAGCGGCCGACACCATCTTCTCCCCCCCCAGCAGCATGGGGACGCACAAGAAGGTCCCCTTCCCCCCCCGCCCCCCTCCTCACTCCTGCCCCCTCCTTTCCCTTCCCCAATTCTCTAAGTCCCCCCCCCATTCCCGCGCGCGGCTGGCTGGGCCGGCAGCCTCGCCGCACAGCTTGGCCAGCAGGCCCTGCTCCCGCGGGTGCCTCCGCAGGACCTGGGGGGCCGAGCCCGCCTCGGAGCACACAAGGGCCCCTCTGGGCTCATCTCCTCTCCTTCACCATTTCCTCTGCCTGCTCTCCACCCGCTCGCCTCGCCCTTCCTCCTCCTCCTATACCTCCTCCCCATCCTCCTCCTCCTCCTCCTCCTCCTCCTCTCCTCCTCCTCCTCCTCCCTCCCCCTCCTCCCCTCCTCCACCGCCTCCTCTTCTGTCCTCTTTCCACCGCTTCCCCCTCCTTTTCCTTCTTCCTCTGCCTCCTCTCCTCCCCGCCTCCCCCTCCTCCTCGCCTCCCCCTCTTCTTCGCCCTCCTCCTCCACCTCCTCGCCTCCTCCTCCTCCTCCTCCTCCTCCTCCTCCTCCTCCTCCTCCTCTCCTTCTCATCCGCGCCCTAATCAGACCCCTCCTCGCTTCTCGCTTCTCCCTCCTCTTCCTCCTCCTCCGACTCCACCTCCGCCTCCGCCTTCTCCTCCTCCCCCTCCTCTTCCTCCTCCTCCCTTCCCACCAGCTCCGCGGATTTGATCTCGGAGAACAGCCCCCCTGAAACCCAAGCCCCACGGGTGGATGCCGTTGGGTAGGACGACATGCTGAGCGGGGTATGCTAAAGCGCTGGCCTAACGTGCTGTGGTACGTCTCAACTTGTCCCCCCCCCCCCCCCCCCGCGCCTCTTCCCAGAGGGTCAGAGGATGAGGATGAGGATGAGGATCATTATGATGATGCTGCTGATGATGATGCTTTTGACGATGCT